AACATGTCATGATGCATCTCAGTAATCCAGGTGGAAAAATCAAAATGAAAACTAAGTAAGTYCTCTGGACAGGTTCGTTTTAATGAAACGTTTCATCTCTCRTCCAAGCGACTTCTTCAGTCTGAGGAGTTTCATGTGAAACAGAGATGGAGACCTTCGTGTTCAGTTGTCCTCCTCCTACAATGCTGTTATTGCAAGTATGACTCAGCCCCCTGTGAGCAAAAGGTGTGAATCAGGGCCCCAACAATAGTCAGGTGATGGGGCACATGACCCTCTATGAACAATAGAACCAATCAAGGCACTATTGTTTGGCTGATGGTCCTCTTTTGCATGTGACCAACCTACATTACATATTTTAATATGACAGTTATTTCTGCATTTTTTTTGTAGAGGTCACCTCCTAACGTTATTAGGGAAAATCTAACTGCTCATTTTAAATCAATGCTTTTACTTTTAAAACTTATGTACAAATAATATCAGAAACTTTAGTATTTTTACTCAAGTAATATTCTTAAAGGAGACTTTAGCTTTTACCAAAGTGATTTCTTGGCGATACTTGTACTTCTCTTCAAGTATCCCTTTGTGGTAGTTTATAAAACATTGTTTTTTAGTAAGCTAGGCTCTGAGAAAAAAATTGAAACTGAGTTTTTGAAAAGATTCATGAGATTGCTCTAAACGTCTGTATATCTGCAAAATGATGGAAAATTTGTGTAAATTACAGATAATCTGTTGATGTGAGGAGTCGTCAGCACCTGTCATTCGCCAGACACACAAAGGAGTGTGTCTAAGCTGGCCAATCATTTTTGTTGACACTGATCAGCTGACTAATATAAATACACCTTAACATTCATGAGGTACTTTGCATTGACTGTTTATGGTTGAGTGTGCGCATGTATAGTGCAGAACCTGAGGCAGGATCTTGTGCGCAAACTCTGAGGTGCAGCTGTGATCTGTAAAGGAAAATTGCTAAAATTCAGATTTTATAAATCTGAATTTTTTTTTTTTTTGGCATAAGCCATTTTCGCCTTTTGTCTGTACGTTCACTTTTAGTAGGAATTCTACGCAATCTTTTATATATGAGGCTCCGGATCCTTTGCAGAGTTGCTAAGGGGGTCATGGGAGTTTGCCTCTCCAGTCTACATGTGTTTTGTAGACTTGGAGAAGGCTTATATTCCTTAAGGCATTCTGTGGTGGTGCTGTGGTTTATGGAGTGTCTGCATTGCTACTAAGAGCAACCCAGTCCCTATATAATCAAAGCTGAAGCTGTGTTCACATTCTTGGCACAAAGACAAGCTTGTTCTCAGAGCAGGTTGAACTCCACCAGGGCTGTCCCTTGTCTCCGATCCTGTTTGTAGTGTTTATGGACAGGATCCCAAAGGCAGAGTCACGGAGAGGAGGGTGTCTGGTTTGGGAACCACAAGGTCTCTCATCTCTGCTATATGCAGATGATGTGGCTCTGTTGGTGTCTTCAGACCAAGACCTTCAGCGTGCACTGGGGTGGTTCACAGCCGAGTGTAAAGTGGCAGGGATGAAAGTCAATTTCTCTAAGGCCATGGTTCTCAACCGGAAATAGGGGGAATGCCCCCCTCCGGGTTAGGAGGGGACACGAGAGTCTGTCTCAAGTGGAGGAGTTTAAGTATCTGGGTGTCTTGTTCACGAGTAATGGTAAGATGGAGCAGGAGATGGACAGACGCATTGGGGCCTCGTCCTCAGTAATGAGGGCATTGCTTCAGTCAGTCTTGGTGAAGAAAGAGCTGAGTAGAAAGGCAAAGCTCTCGATTTACTGGTCTGTCTTCATTCCATCCCTTACTTATGGTCATGGGGCGTGGATCATGACTGAAAGGATGAGATCCTGGACACAAGCGGCCGAAATGACCTTCCTTTGCAGGGTGGCCAGGCTCAGTCTTAGAGATATGGTGAGGAGCTCAATCATCTGGGGGGAACTGGGAGTAGAGCCACTGCTCCTCAACATTGAAATGAGTCGGTTGAGGTGGTCCAGGCATCTGCTTAGGATGCCTCCTGGACTTTTCCCTTTACAGGTGTTCTGGGCACATTCCACTGGTAGGAGGCCTCAGGAAAGACCCAGGACTTGCTGGAGGGATTATGTATCAGCATTCTGCTGATGCCAAAACCGTAAGTGTGCTGTACTCGCTTCTACCCGCTTAGAACCACCTTCAAGGAGGTTCTGAAACAGCACACTGTGCGTGGTTGAGCATGCTTGGAGCCTAATGGAGATGTATTAGTCCGAGGTCGAGCCGAGCCAAACTGCGTACAAGTGCGCGTGTGGAGATGGGGCTTATGCGGAAGAGGGAGAAGGCAGAGACGCCTTGTCTATCTGCAGTAATACCAGAACAGAGCAGCCCCCCTGTTGCTTTGAGTGGTTTTTCGGTTCTGTACGGCAGCCAGAAGGAGAATTTCTGTAAAATCCTTTGAAAGAAAGACGCCAGTTTATCTTACATTTTATCCAGTAAATATAACAGTCAGTCATGGTTTGACTGTCCGAGAAGCAGTTCTGTTGCCATAGTACCAYAAATGGCTGACTGCTACTGTTTCACTCGCCGTGTCTTCAAAGGATTGCTGAGTTAAAATTAAAACTCACATTCCTTTCCACAAACAACCTCAGACTGGCAGACAATATGAACAAGTTTTCTGCAACTTTCATCAACCCCCTACAACACCTCACACCTTCTTCAGCTCGACCTCCAACAACCCAGCAGGAGTCTGAGCCGCCTCTCAAGCACAGACCCCCTTCAAGACCTTCACCATCATCCCTGTCCTGAAGAAACTCTCTGCTCTTTATTTTTATCTGCTCATAAAACGTTTTACTACAACTATTATTCCAGTACACAAATAAAATACGTCATAATTTAAGCAGCAAAATCAATTTTATTTCTTGTTCTTTTGAAATAAAAGCAAATGCCTCACGTGATGCATTTTCAAAGTTTTAGTTATGCTAAGTGAAACCCTCCTACCCTCCATGCCCACATGTATCTGCTGTGTCTCAGAACAGATCTGGAGCTCTAACAAAGTCAACCAGAAGCTGACAACAAGTTTTAGTTTGAGGAACATGATTTACTGAGTCTCAATCTTTACTGAGGGATTCTCAAATGAAACTAAAATACCTGGATCTTATTTACAGAGTTTAGCTCAACATCTCTACAAACCCACAGGGAACAGCTTTGTTTGCTGAACACTGCTACTCAAACATTTTGAGAGATTTCACACACAAGCCATGGATTCTGCCATGAAGATGAAGACTGACTGTATAAAACATTTATAACAAAATAAAAAAAAGAAAAAATGGACTAAGCTGATCACTGCTGATCTTTATTGAAGAAATCTGTGGATTCCATTTTGTTCAGGTCCTCTCCATAGATGATTTGTATTCATWTATAGTCACTAAATTATCTGTAAAGTAATGGTATGTTCTTCTGCAGACTCACATGTTTTACTGAAACCATACAGAAAGCAGGAAAACACCACTTCAGCTGGAACTGGACTAAAACATAAAGYAGAAAAACACAGAAAGATACAGTTGAATGTATTCATGACTCAAACTAATTGATTTCTTTCTTTGGGATGTAACCAGCAGCTTATACTGAGGTGGTACAGTGGTGCAGTGCACCTCTCCGTGATCAGGTTGTAGGAGTTTACATGTTGCAGTTACATGAATGTGAGGTTAATTGGGACTTTGAATAACACCAAGGTGTGAGTGAGGGGGTGAATGGTCCAGGCGCCCCTTTCTCTTTCACAGTGACAGACACACCAACTCTCTGTGACCCGGGAAGTAAAAAAGCAGATAAAGGACAAGGATGTATGGTTTCATAGGTGTATGATTATTATGCAATAAAAATAACAATTTGCAAAAAAGAAATATTACCAATGGTACCTTGCTGTATTGTTGCAGTCATATTTTACAGGCTAAACCTGGCTTGTGACTTTAAAGATGATATTTTAAACACCAACTCTGACGTTTTGTTAAGAAGCTGAAACTGAAAGATGACTTTCATCCACACGTCCTGCTGGGAACTGTAGAGCTGCTGCTTCTCCACATCTACAACCAGTAACCAGTGCCAAGCAGACAGACGTAACATGAGCTCCATGTTGTGAGTTAGTCCTACTGCACCTGCAGTAGTCTGTACAAGCACAATATGCTCTTTGTGTTATGATCCTGCTCCTGTCTGCCTTTATCTTATCTCAGTCCTAGTCTATCTTGATCCTGTTCCAGTCTGCCTTTATCTTATCTCAGTCCTAGTCTATCTTGATCCTGTTCCAGTCTGTCCCAGTCTTGTTTACTTTGTCCTGTTCCTGCTCATTGCCTCTGCCCCTCCCATCCTGTTCCTCAGTCTGCTCATTGCCTCTGCCCCTCCCGTCTCTGTTTCATCTAATCAAGTTCATCACTTCCACCTCTTTTCCCCAGTATATATCTCAGCTCCAGCCTCCAGTCCCTTGCCAGATTTTCATCAGCCTTGTCTATGATCTTCCAGCAATCTTGTTCCTTGTTCCTCTCTTGCCTTGTGTCCCCGAACCTGCTCATGTCTCTTGGACCCACGTCTCCTGCCTCAGCCCCTGTCGGATCCTGCTTGTCATCTGTTCTCCTGGTAACGACCCTGTTTCTGTTTCTCGGACCCACGTCTCCTGCCTCAGCCCCTGTCGGATCCTGCCTGTCATCTGCTCACCTGGTAACAACACTGGTTCTGTTTGTTGGATTTTCGCCTCACGTCTCGCCCCTGAACGGATCCTCGCCATCTCGGACTTCCTGGAACTCGACCTCGGAACCCATCCCTGGATCCTCGACTCAGTCTGCCCCTATTAACCTGGTAACTGCCTCTGACCACCCGTGTTTGACCCCAGCCTTGTCTTGGACCACGATTAATCCTCGCAGCAGCAGCAAGCCCTGTGTCAACACCGCCAGACACACAACCAAGACTCAGTGGTTGTTTTCCACACGAAATCAGTCCATCCAAGAGGGGACGGTAAGTTATATTATTTACTTATATAATATAATTTACCTGAACCGACTTAACCCCTGTTCTCTGTATCCAGACCTGCTGCTCCTGGGTTCCAGCTTCCTACCTCCAATCACTCAATTTAACAATAAACCTGTTAAACWTGCTTCTGTGTTCGGCAATTATTCAGAGCTCAAACACTCAGTCTTAACACTTTGTGAGTCACAAACATGCACAGAAACCAATCAAATGGAAAAAAATTCAAACGAATAGATGTGAGCAGATTTATGTTCTAAAGAAGGCACTTATTGTTCTTCTCTCTTCTCTGTCTGATTAAATAATGAGTGTGTGCGTTTTTTTTTACATGTAGCTCAACATTAGCTGTTAGCTTAGAGGAACATGCTCATGCTAAAGTCATGAGAGCTTCCCCTGCTATGAGAAAATGGCTTCAATCCCCCAGAGCAGACTGTGTCAATCTCATTTGAGATTCTGTAAAAGTCATGTTTTGTTTTGACTTGCTGAACCGCACTTTGTATTGTTCACAGTTGTACTGCTCAGAAAGTAACACTGAGTTACACTCACAGAGAACTGCCTCTCTGGCCTGAACCATTCACAGTTCAGTACTGAAAAAGTACATCATTCACCATTGTACTGAATGTGGTGCTGTGTCAGTCAGACAACTCTCATAACTCTTAAAAATACAGCAACTTGAAGAAAACAAGCCATTATGTTTCTCCAAGCTAATGGTCAATGGTGGGCACACTTTCGCTCATCCACTAACAGCGGAACTAATGTTTTGCTGAGTGGATTAGCATTTTTAATAATTTTATAAACATTTATCACTTTTAACTTCTGCTCATTATTTTTCCAACCCAGCTTTCAGTTCAAGAAATCTTACCAAAAAAAGCTGGACAACCGGAAGATGAAGGGACACTACTGGCTTACTAAATGTGATATGACAAGACATGATTGTTCAACACAATGATGGGAAGATCAATATGACTTTGAGTAACTCTTGTGTAATTCTGTTCTGTTCCTGTTTATTTACAGAGCTGAAGTTGCTGACATGGAATGTGAAAACAGTGCTTCAGTTCAACTAGCAGATGAAAAGTTGAGAGCCTGTATTCTCACTTGTTTTTGAGTCAAGGCATAAGGCCAATGAAAACACATGCATTTTCAGTGTGTTATGTGCAGGGAGGCTGTACAGGCGGCGAAAGCTATGACAATTCCATGGGCCCCTGACAGACAGAACCCTGCCCCAGTCCCCCAGATTTAAAAAAATGTTAAATGTTATTAAAGGTCATTCAGGAAAAGCCTGACTTTCAGTAAATCATGTCATCTCAGCACTTGATGGGTTAAAATTGGCCATGTGAGGTACTTTTTTTAAATAAATCAGCCTGACATTAACATGACAGCTCAATGGCTAGAACTGATGCCTCATAGCAAGGAGGTCCTGGGTTTGGACCTGGGGTCGTTCTGTGTGGAGTTTGCTTGTTCTCCTCATGCTTGTGTGGGTTTTCTCCGGGTTTTCCGATTTCACCCACAGTCCAAAAACATGCACAACATGTTGCCTTCAGGCACACCCTGCCCTTGCAAAGGAGATGGGATTTGCCTAGTTAAAAAAAGAGTTTACATAAATACAACATTCCAAATAAATTAATGAATGAATACAAGAATTAAATTCTGTTCAGCAGTGCTGTGTCTTTGGGTTGGGTTCAGTGTTTACACCCTTATTCATGGTCCATTCAGTTATACAAATAGCTCACTTTCAGTTTTTGGCCTTTTTCAATATTTCATTAGTAAAGTAATAACAACAACTTCTAGGCTACCAAACTCTTAAAGATGCAGAGAGTTAATGGACTTCCGGTTTGGGTCATGAAGGAAGGAGTAGGTGGTGAGTCTGAAGAGCTCCGACCCAACCTGTAATTTATGTGACCAAAGCCAATACTTCTTACTACAAGATTGGTCTATTCCACACGCGTTATTGTGTTGGGCGGCCTTGGCCTGTACTTCCAAGCAAAAACAAGCCTTCTTGATGACCACGCGGAACACCACTGCTAGCAAGTTAGCTAATATGACGGCCGACGCTATTCCTTCTAAAAGTGACGGAATAACTATGACCCAACTGGTGCAAGAACTAGCCAAACAACAAGAAAGTTTGAAGGAAGACATCTCTATCCTCATTCAAGAATCACTGGTGCCGCTACAAGCTTCGGTGAGTGCTCTGACAGAAACGGTGGGCTCTATGCAACAACGCTTAACTGCATCAAAATCACTAGTGGGTGATAACTTTGAGAAGATTTGTGCAACTGAATCTGCTGTTGAAGCTCTAAAATCTCAAAATGCGGCACTCTTGGACTGCATTGAGGAGCTAGAAAACAGGGCACACCGCAATAACTTGAGGATAATAAATATTCCAGAAGGCAGCAAAGGTGTGGGGAATATTGTTAACTTTATGGCGAATATGCTAATGGAGTTCACCGACAACGTTGCACTATTTGACTCTGCCCCAGTGCTGGAGCGAGCACATAGGGTGGGAGCAAAACCCACTGATGCTAGCCGTCCTCCACATCCATTTCTGGTGTGCTTCCTAAGGTATCAGGAGAAAGAGCGACTACTACAATGGGCAAGACAACACACAATCACCTACCAGGGCGCTACACTGAGAATATACCCCGACTACAGCGCTGCCCTGTCGAGGAGCCGTGCTGACTTACTTCTGTACATTTCTGACCCAGTATCATGTATTTCTAATATTGTTAATATCCTTAATGACTTTGGGACCTTTTCAGGTTATAAATTAAACTTTTCTAAGAGTGAATGCTTTCCAATTAATTATTTAGCCCTTCAACTACCTGACAATGTGCTCCCTTTCCATATATCAAAGTCTGGATTTAAATATTTAGGCATACACATCACCCGTGCCTTTTCCGATACTTTTTTCCAGCTCGTAGTTTCGTTGAAAAAAAAAAAAAGCCTTCACTGGAGCATCCCGGTCAGAGGCAGGTTCAGATATGAAATGAATGATATACTGAACTAAAGAAGCAGGTCAGATAATTATTTAATCGGSTCTGATTAAACAACAACTTCCGATTCGATGCGCAAAATGCAGCATCCATGCTAGCTCTGTAAACAAACCAGCCAGCTGATGAGACATCACGTCTTTTACTGGGCATGYGTGTCACATCAGTGYTGTGTAGCGTTCACACAGGGGTCTGATGCAGGTCACATTTAAAATGTAATGTGAACGTTACACAAAAAGATCGAATTTTTTCAAAAAATCGGAACTGAGCATTAAGACCTGCAGTGTGAACGTAGCCTATAACTCAGTTGTGTTTTCTAGATGTAAGGAGCATGTGAACACGGTGTCAGATTTTTTTTTTAGTTTGAGTTTTTATTGTTTAAACTCGAACGATCATGAAACTGAACCCCGGGACTGAAAATCATTTAACCTCAGACAAGGAAATAGATCAGTCTAAAAATGATCAAAAGAACCTCAGTCCAGTCTGTAAACTGTTTTTATATTTTTGTCACATAATTGAAAACCTTTTGGGTCTCGGGCTGGAAAAACTCGACACACTATGTGCGGCATAAAAAAAGTAAAATAAAAAAGGCTGAAGAGAGGGACCAAAATCGGACGCAAATGGTGGCTCACTGTATGGTAAGAATAATTATTTTTTTCTGTTTGTCTTCTGGCTGATGCTGCGTTGACTTGTGGCCGTAGCGCAGCAGGCTCGCGCTTTGGGTAGATTCTCATGCCAGGTGCGAGCGCACCCTCGCCAGCTGTGAAGGTGTTCATATGTGTCAACTCCTTTGGACATTTACCTGTCTAATGAACCTCAAAAATCTATAACTTTTGCTAAAAATCCGTAGGCTATCACTTGTACCCGCTCATGGGGGTGGGGTGGGGGTCTGTACGTGGAGATGACAGTGCCTGCTGTAACGCAGGAGCAAAGGAGAGCAGAAAAAGTGGATAACGTAATGTTTATTCATTTATTTTTATTTCATTTTTATTCATTTTTTTAAACGTCCGTTCAACACCGTGTTCAACTAAATAGACAACAACTAACCAGACTTCAATATCACATTTGGGAGATGTCTGTATTTTACATATTTAAATGGAGGCGTGTCAGGGRAGGTTTCTCACGTGCGCTAAGTTCCACGTTCATTGGGATGTATAAAGGAAAGGTGCGCAGGAACATGCGAATGCATGGATTTACAGATYTGAATATTTTGGTGCGGCGGACATTTCTAAATTTGTCCGTACGTATACTTTTAGTGTGAAAGCTGCGCACTCCTTTATGCATGAGGCCCCAGAAGAGCAAATAATTCTTCCTTTGAGTCAGATTTAACCCAGACTGTTTTGTCTTCATTACTTCTCCAGTAATCCCTCCTTCCCTTCATGTTTTTGTGAAGCCAGTCACAACAGACATCAGAGAAGCAGCGTGCACTCTGAAGTGTCTGACAGCTTCACCAGGAGCTCTACACACACACACACACACACACACACACACAC